CCCCCAGACCCAGGGTCTCCAGCAGTTGCACCCTCAGGCTCAGCAGCACCTCCAGCCCCAGCAGCTCCAGTACCTCCACTACGAGCACCTCCGGGACCAGCACCACTCCCAGCTCCAGTGACGTCAGCAGAAGTACCTCCAGCGGCAGGGCCCCTAGCTCCAGCAGCGCGACCGTGACGGCCAACGTACCACTCAAGCAGCTGCTGTGGGGAGAGAGGGAGTCGACGACTAGAGTGCAGTGGCGAGGCACCAGCGGAGCGACTACGCAGACGGCCGCTCCAGGGAGACTGCTCACCAGACGCCTCAGCGCCCCCAGGTGCAACACCCCCAGACTCAGTACCCCCAGGCTCAGCACCCCCAGACTCCTCACGCCCAGGCTCAGCACCTCCAGTCTCCGCACCCCCAGGCTCCGCACCTCCAGTCTCCGCACCCCCAGGCTCAGCACCCCCAGGCTCCGCACCCCCAGGCTCAGCACCCCCAGAATCTGCACCCCGAGCAGGACCACCCTCAGCAGGACCTGAGTCACCAGTGACCTCGACCGGCGCAGTCAAGGGAGGAGGGTCTACCTGAGACACACCTGAAGGAGCAGGACCGGGAGCGGGGAGGGGGTCTACCTGGGGAGCACCTGGAGCGAGGAAGAGCGGCGGGGGGGGGAGAGGGGCAGTGCGGTAGGGGAAGAGACGGCAAAAGGGAACCGACTCGTCGAACGTGACGTCCTGAGAGGGGAAGACACGGCGCGAGGTGGGGTGGTAAAACTGCCAACCAGGCGCGTCAGGGACAAAGCCAAGGAAGACACAGGGAACAGCGCGGGCGGAGAGCTTGTCCGCGGTGGTATCGCGGACAAAGGCACGAGCACCCCAGACCCGGAAACGCGACGCATCGCCAACCTTCCCCGTCCACAGCAGTGTGGGCGAGGTCTCCGGCAAGGAGACACGGGGCCAGAGGTTGAGCTGATGCGCGGCGTACCGGACCGCAAACGGCCACAGAAAATGGGGGGCAGCCGCATGGATCATGGAGGTACGAGCGACCTCCATGACTAAGCCAATGCGGCGCTCAGCAACCCCATTCTGCTGCGGAGAGGCCGGAAGCGTGAACGTCTGGCGGATGCCGTGCTCCCCATTTTGCTGCGGAGAGGCCGGAAGCGTGAACGTTTGGCGGATGCCGTGCTCCGCAAAGAAGGCTGCCAAGAGGTCTGAGGAGAACTCACCACCTCTTTCAGAGTGCAGACGCAGGACAGGAAAGTCCGACTGGAACCGCTCGCGGAGCTGGAGACGGGCAGCGCGGATCCAAGGGATCAAAACATCAGGGACCTCACCCTTGGTGCGCAAGGGGAAGACCGTGGTGTAACGCGTGTAGTCGTCGACGACCAGCAGGAAGTACCGCTCGTGGCCCTGTCCACGGACGCGGGCTGGGCCCCACACGTCCAGGTGGAGAGACTGCAGGGGAGCCTCTATGGGAGGGAACGAGGAGGAGTGAGGAGCGGCGCGCTGCCGCCCCTCGACACAGGGAAGACAGGGAGGAGCAGGCGAGGGTGGGAGGGGAGGGAGAACCCTGGGAAGGCCAGAGACAAGGACATGACGGTGCATGCTACGAAGGCGCTGCACCGAGGGGTGACCAAGGCGGTGGTGCCAAAGGAGGGTCTCGTGCGACAAAGCGCGACACGAGCAGGGGGCCCAGTGGTCAGTGTGTACAGGTTCGACCCCGGCTGCCGAGTGAAGGTAGCCAGGTGACGACCCGTCTGAGCACACGTGCAGTGTGTGACACGCTCATAGGCCGGGGTGAACTGGTGAACACCCGCGTCCTGGAGCGCAGAACCCGCCACCAAGTTCGTAGAGAACGAACTTGACAGGGAGATGAAGACCTGACAGGGAGCCAGACGGGACCGCCGGACACGGCAGGACCGTGGAGGAGTGCGCAAGGACTGGTCCCCCAGAGGGGTCTGCCAGGGAGACTGGAACCGGCCGACTGAGCGGCGTGAGGGTGGTGCTGTCGCGAAAGAAGGAGCGGGAAGCACCTGAGTCAAGTGTGAAGGTGTACAAGGCCTCAGCAGGCGCAGTACCAGAGAGAGCAGACTCACCAGCACCTGGAGCAGGAGACGCACGAGCACCTAGAGCAGCAGCCTCACCAGCACCTAGAGCAGGAGACGCACTAGCACCTAGAGCAGCAGCCTCACCAGCACCTAGAGCAGCAGGCTCTATACCGGGGTCAGGCGGTACGCACAGGTAACAGGCACTGTCAGCACTAGTAAGCAATGCATACATGGCAGTGAGAAGATCATCATAGTCAAGAGCAAAGATATCTACCCTCTGCCTAAGCAGCTCCACCCAGTCGGGGAGCTCAGCCTCGTCGCCAAACTCGGTACGCCAGGCGTCGCTCAGACGGGCGAAGCAGCGGGACTGTGTGTGACTAAGCGTCCCGCAAGCCTGACCAGTCCGAGCACCTGTACGAATGACGTACGGGCAGCGAACGGTACTCCTCGACCCTCTACTCTGAGTGTACCACTCGTGAAGCTGCTGGGACGTGAGTGTCTCGCGTGGACGCCGCTGCAGCTACAGCTGGCCACTGCTAGACGCTCCCAACTGACCAGCTCCAGGGCGACAGCTACGACGGCTACCGCCACAACCCCAACTAGCGTACCACTCACTAAGCTGATGGGGCGTGAGAGATTCGTGGGAACATCGCTGGAGCTGCATCTGGCCACCGCTAGTAGCAGTAGTAGCAGTAGCAGTAGCGGTAGCAGCAGCAGCAGCCTAGCAGCAGTAACAGAAGTAGTTGCAGTAGCAGCAGTAGCAGCGCGGGCAAGGCAGGCGCGGCAGGCAGGCAGGCGGGCAGGCAGTCAGGCAGGCAGGCAGTCAGGCAGGCAGGCAGTCAGGCAGGCAGGCAGGCAGGCAGACAGGCAGATGGCGCGGCAGCGCGCGAACAAGGCAGGTGCTCACCAGTGGTGGGCCGGCGCTCGGCGGGCGGCGGCAGGGTAGGCGCACGAAGGCAGGCGCGAGGTGAGGTAGGGGCGGCAGCACCGAGTGCAGGCGCGTCTCGGGATCCTAGGGCGGCGTCGCGGGGTCGAGGGGCGGCTGCACGGAGTCCAGGGGCGGCTGCACCAGGGGTGGCTGCTTCAGGGGCCAGGGGCGGGTGCTCTGGGTCCAGGGGCGGTTGCTCGAGGGTCCAGGGGCGGCTGCACCAGGGGCCAGGGGCGGCTGCTCTGGGTCCAGGGGCGGCTGCTCAAGGGTCCAGGGGCGGCTGTGTCAGCAGCGCGGCGACGTAGGGGTGCGCGAGGGCGGGGCCGAGCCGCGTGCTGCCAAAAAGGGCGGCGCAGCGGGCAGGGAAGGGCGGCTCGCGGGCTCTACAGGTGCGCGACGGGCCAGGCGGGGTCGCGCGCTGCCAGCAGGGCAGCGCGATTGGCTCCCGTGGGTGGCGCGAAGGCCCTAAGGCGACGCGACGGGCGGGGCCGGGCTCTAGGACGAGAAAAAATAAAAATAAACGCGCGTCGCGCGGCCAGCAGGGCGGCGCGACGGGTGGGGCAGCTCGACAGGCAGGGGAAACCCTAAAAAAAAAGAGAGTTAACGGTGGGCCCACTAGGAAATTAGGTCCTAAGACCTAAGTGCTCTTATTACCATGTTAAAGTAGGATGATGACTATCGAGAAAGTTTTGGTACAAAAGTGAAACCTAAGGGGTTGTACCCCACAGTGAGTACCCCACTAAAGCCTACCTAAACTATAACATATAAACATATGTTTGACACTTCTTGCTCGCCGACCTTGGTGAGCGGCCTCGCTCTGCACCGACCTTGTACGCTGACAACAAGGCCACGATCCTCCTGTGTCGAGAGCCTCGACTGGAGAGCAGAGTGAAGCATATTGACGTGAGGTACTTCCTCGTGTGAGAGTTGCAGCGACGCGGCCAGGCACGCTTGGACTTTGTGGCCTTAGAGGCCATCAATGCCGACGTCTTCACCAAGGCCTTGGCGCCTGGTGATCACCACAGATTCTGTGAGCAGTTGGGGCTGTTAAGGTAGGCCCTCGGTTGCTGTAGACTTGCTGTTTGCTCTGCGTGTTGTGCTTTGCTATATATATCATAGTGAACTCTTGAACTGGCCTTGTGGCCGCTGTCTTCTGCTCGGAATTTGTGTGGTGTTTTTGAGATCCACCCTGAGCTTGCTTTTCTTCTTGCATTGACTGGTCTTGTGACCGTTTGTTCACCCTGCGTGCTTTGATGCCCCTCACTTAGCCTATGGGGGTGTGTCAAATGTTGTTATATGTTCCTAGGCTATAGTGAGTAACACGCTAGGGAGTACAACATTTGTAAGGTTGCTATTTGTATCTCTTGCTTTCCTAGTTCACACATTCCGTTGCATTCACTTTTTGAGAGCCATGCATTAGTGAAAGACTAGCTCGCTCAAAGTCATATGGGTTCCAAACCGATGCCACGTTCTCATCTCAACTAAGCACAACATAGCATGCACTGTAGGGACATCTAAGGTAGTCATCAATTATGTCCTACGTATCTATCTATGCTTCCATGTAAATGAACGAAGTGAAGATCCTGCAAAGATCCGAACACGTTACAATAATTTGTTATCAACGCAGGCATGAATTTCAACACTGCAGGCCTTTGACATGTCAGGCGCAGATGGAAAGACGTTTTAAAAATGCGTGAAAAAAGAGCTTCCAATTCAAAGTCAGATCTCCCAGAGTGTCTTGACTGTGCATGGACATAGTTGCATATTAGAGGGTTTGTTATCTGTTACAGAGGTGCTCGGCAGAGTGTACTGAACTCACCAGAAGGATGTCATGTAGGTGAATGTGCCGAGGAACCCCATGGCGTTGGCCCACTTGAGAAGCGTGCAGCTGTCTTGACTGTAACGTGTACACCAGGAAAGCAAGGAACACAGGGGGGACAAGGAGCGGAGAGGGGGAGAAATGAAGGTGTGGGTTTAGGCAGAGAACAATTAAAAAGTGGCAGCACCATGGGAGAGTTGGAACAAACACAGGAGCAGAGTATGCTAGCGAAACAGAGGGGGCAGAGGCGAAAACGGAGGGAGGGAAAGGGAGAGAGGAGAGGTGAAGGGATAGGTGGGGGAGAAGGGGAGACGAGAGGGGTGGGTGAGAGGGGGGGAGGGGGGTGGGGGAAGGGAGAGGCGAGAGGGGTGCAAACCGTAGTAGTGAGGACAGGGTGGGACGTTTGTGTGTGAGGCTGGAGGAGTAGTGAGGACAGTGTGTGGCGGATTCCCATGCTTAAAAGAATAAAGACAAATAAAAAATAAACTCACATGTATCCGAGGATGAAGTTGGTGGATTGAGTAGGAGGCGCACATGCAGCTTTGGGGGAGAGGGAGAGAGGGGGCAAGAGTGGGGGGCATGCATCATCGTAACATCGCAACAGGGTGGTGGGACTCACATGTATCCGAGGAGGAAGTTGGAGGAGTAGGAGCCGCACATGCGCGACGTGAAGGACGCGGACGCGCACGAGGCGGCGAACAGCAGCATCATCATCATCTGCGAGGGGGAGTGGTGGTGGTTTGGGTGGTTGCGGTGGGGTGGAGAAAGGGGGGTGGCATTGGAACAGCTTCTGAGAATCGTGAAGGACGCGGACGAGCACGACGCGGCAAACAGCAGCATCGTCATCATCTGGCGAATGGGGGGGAGGCATCGAAGGGACTTAATTGAATCACTGTGACGTGCACGACATGGCGAAGCGAATGCCATAGGGGTTCCTTGGCGCATTCACCGACATGCAAGAGAGACGTTGAAATTAGAAACGTGGAAAGCTTTTCTGACAAGCAGCGCAACGACGTGGCAAGGAGGAGAGGTTCGGGTCAGAGGTTCGGATGAGAAGCTCAGGAGAAGTTCGAAGTCGAGGCACGGAGGAGCGGCAGGGAGGAAATATAAGGAGGTTGGAAGGGGTGGGGAGGGAAATGGTAAGGGCGGAGTAAGGGAAATGTAAGGACCTTCCAGAAGGAGCACAAGCAAAGCTTACGAAGCTGCAGAAGAGCTGCGAGCCGAGCGAGTCGAGCTTGACGCCAGCGACGTTGGCGGCGTGCACGAGCATGAGGATGAATGAGAGGATGAGCCCCGTGACGCCCGTGCCGAACAGGAAGGCCGTCACGTTGATGCTCTTCCAGGAGAAGTTGAGATAGCACAGGATGCTGGGACCGGGAAGAAGAGAGGATAGAAGGGCGAGGAGACACGGGGGGTTAGAAGGGGAAAGGAGTGGCAGAGGCGTGCCGAACAGGAAGACCGTGACGCTGATGCTCGTCCAGGAGAAGTTGAGATAGCACAGGATGCTGAAAAGGGGGGAGAGGGGAGGGGTGGAAGGGGAAGGAGAGGGGGGAAGGGGTGAAGGGGGAAATGGTAAGCAGGGAGTACGCCGTATGACACGTGCCGAACAGGAAGGCCGTCACGTTGACGCGCTTCCAGGAGAAGTTGAGATGGCACAGGATGCTGGGCAGGGAAGTGGGCGGACACAGATACACGTCCGGGTCGCACAGAATGCTGTAAAATGCGAACGGGTAGCACAGAATGCCGAACGGGTTTCCTCCCGACCCGCCCTGGCATCTCGCGCTATCAGTGCTACTATGCGACCTTATCCTACTTCTGCGCTTCCGACTCCGCGCGCGCAGCCCGCAGTTGGCGGAGCGGCGATGATGCCACGTGGACGGGGAACGACGGCACGAAAAAATAGGATGACTCTTCGAGAAAGGCAGGAAGATTCTTGACCCAACAATTGCTAGAGGGAAAATCTATAGCTTCTAATGCGCAGGGCTTATAATGAGCAGAGCTTCTAATGAGAAGAGCTTATAATGAGCAGAGCACGACGGCCATCGATTAAAGGGAGAGTTCTCTGTGGAGCTTTCCCTTTTGAGGCGCCTCTTGAGGCGACTTTTGAGGAGCCTCAAGAGTACTCGGTGGAGCTTTCCCTTTTGAGTGGCGACCGTCTTGGTTGGTCTTGAAGAACATTGAGTTAAAACACGCAGCAAGGTCGTGGAGAATGATGGAGCATTGAATATGGCTTTGCAATGTCGCGTAAAAACGACTAAAAAGAAGAACAATCGGCTTAGCGTTTCCTCTTGGCATCTATTCTCACAGCAAGGAAACTCGCAACGGCAGGCCACAAAGAATGAGCGGGGAGGGGAGTGGGGGAGGGGGGGGAGGGGGAAATCACAGACGCTAAAACACTTTTTCTGTTGAAGCGACAACTCTTGCAAGAATAAGAATAATGGAGCTGGCTTTGACGAGAAATAGCAGTGGATGGAGCGCGTCGTACGCGAAAGTTGCGGAGCAGAAGCAACACTCGAGGAAGCGCAGAGCGATTGGCAAAACCTTCGCCGAGCCGCCCGCCATGGCTGCGATGCTTGACCGAGTGACAACCGCGACGAGTCGAAGGAGTAAGGACGACCGGGAGGAGACGAACCGCAAAAGAAAGTACAGGCCGCGTGAGAAAGTAGGACCAGAGAAAGTAGGACCAAAGTATGGTTTCAGCAACGAGAGACTCAGCTAGTTGTGAGAAGTTTGTGCAATTGTGGCCAACTGCTCTATGCGGGATGGAATGTTCTGTGTTGTGACTTCTCCGAAGTCTCGGCAGGGTGTTCTGGGTAGAGGAGGTTGGGGGAGGGAGGTGGAGGGGGGAGCGGGTGGGGGGAAAGGGGGAAAGGAAGGGGGGGAAGTTGTGGAATTGGGAAGGGGGGGTGGGGGGAAGAGGGGTGGAGAGATGGGTTTTCTTGGCAGGTCAGCCCAAAGATGGAAAGAAAGCACGTTGGAGCCGCGCGGTTTGGTTTGCGCAGGACACGACCGCGGCAGGGTGGTGAAAATGGCGGGAGCCACTCTCTGTGTGTATGACAGGAGATTTGGCGCGTCTTGAAGGCGGTTTGACTCGCCACCCCTTTGCATCTATGGGTCGAACGTGCTCACCACGAGGATCGGACGGGTGAGGAGTGACGAGAAATGGGGCACCAAACTTTGGGGCAATTGTGATGTTTTGCTGTGTTGGAGAGTGCCCCTTGTCGACAATAAGGGGCACCTGTTTCGAGAAAACCTTCGAAGACAAAGTTTCTCTGTGATAATTATGAATTCTGTAGTAAGGCTATATGAAGTGAACGATGGAGGTTCCGCCTCTGTTTAGCTACACGATGTGGTTCAAAGCCCTATTAACAACCGAATTTTCACCAGAAACTATTATTGCCGATTGCCATATCCAAACCGCATCCAGACACTTCTCACTTCTGCGCGGCCGCCAGTGCGCGCGCACAGCCCAAGGCGCGGCTCGAGCTGACTCTCCGCCCGCATCTTCTCCTCCGAGTCTCTCCCCATCCCCTCCCACACTCCAACCACGCACGTCATATCGCACACACTCACTCCTTCCTCCCCATACCATCCTTGCCCTCCTTCCAGACCAGACCTGCCAAAGAGACAGTAGGCTTGAACAACCAACTGGCCACACAAACAACCCTCAACATCGCATTTCTTTCGTTTCTGGAATCAGTCGAAGAAGCACGCGCGTATCTCTTAGCCTCGCCCACTTCCGATTGTTATCCAGCTGGTAGTATCAGGGAGCATCACGTCGTGAGTAACGGCTTAAGCGACACGAGAGACATTATTTTCGTCGTCGTCGTTGCAGCCAACACGCAGTGCAGCCTGCAGCCATGTCGGGAGACGGAAAGGACCGCAGCTCGTCGTCGTACCTGGTCATCCCCCTCGTCCTGCGCTTCTTCGAAATATGCTTCTGCATCGCATCCTTCGTGTACGTCGCTCTCCTTTCGTGTAACGTCGCTCACCCTTCGCGCACATCGCTCGTCATTCCCTCCATGCACCCGCTCCGCTCCTATTCGCGTTCCAATGTTCACCATTGGTGGAACGAATGGTATTTCAGCGCGGAAGCCACGCATAAACCGCGAAGAAACAAAGAGTTTCTTGCAGTCGACGCGAAACAGTGTAAGAAGCATCTCAGCCCGACAATCACGCCCAGGCGCCTGCTATATTAGAATCCTGACATGACTCCTAAATTAGAGATGCATCAAGAGGGTGATGTGTTTCAATACTTGAGTTACCTTACCACGATTAGTTTTGAGACTCTGCCTCTACTCCATCATACCTCCGCTCCATCCCCTCCTCTCTTCCCTTCCCTTCCCTTCCCCTTTCCCCAACCCTTTTTCCTCTTCCCCCTTCTCCCTTTCCCGCTTCCCTCTCCCCCCTACCCTTTCCAATCTGCCCGGCCGTATTGACCTTCACATGTGAATCGAACAAGGGAGCAACTCTTCCACCATATGTACCTCGGCGTAATGACGCCCTTGCACATACGCTTACCACCATCTCCTCTCTACCGTTCCACCTTCCGCCCCTCGTCCCCCTCTCCCGCCTCTCCTCTTGCACCCCAGCATAACAACGCTGATGGAGCTGGAAAAGGTCGAAAACCACCTCTTTCCATCATACCCTCACACCGTTTCCTCCTCTTTCACCTTTCCCCCTTTCCGCCTCTCCCAGCGTAGTGACCTTCATGAAGATAACTTCCGGATTTATCCCAACCTTCATTCCGTCGCACTCTCACCTTTCCCACTCGCACTCTCACCCTTCCCTTCCCGTCCCCCTTGCTTCCTCTCCCCCACTACCCACGCCAGCATTATGACGCTCATGAAGCTCAACTACAAGGGCTTTAACTCCGCCTCACTCCATCGCACTCCACCCCCTCCTTCTCCCTTCCTCCCCCACTACCCGCCGCAGCGTTATGACGTTTATGAAGCTCAACTACAAGAGCTTTAACTCCACGGCCTACCTCTTCTCCATGGCCATCACGGGCCTCATCCTCTCCGTGATCGCCGCGTGCGTCACGTTCCTCGGCCGCAAGCCCGCCATGGCCGTCAACGCCATCCGCATCCAGCTCTACATCAGTTTCGTGAGTCAACGCGAGTCAAGTCAAGTCAAGTCTTAGTGAACATCAGGTCGATTGAATCAATCAATCCCCGCAGCAGCTTCTTTAGCCTTCCTCTATCTCTAGCAGCTCAAAAGAAACTGCCCGCTCCTTCTCATCCCACCAGAATATCGTCATTCCCGGCCCTTTCCCTTCTCGTTTCTCGGGTTTCGGGTCTCGTGGCCCACCATCCACTCTTAAGGTCACGCCTACGGCTCGTGTCTCGACAACTCCCGTCACACCCCCGAACCCTTTCCTTTCGTGCCCCATCTGCGCATCTGCTCACGCGCGCGCCGTCCGCCCTCTTCCCCCCTGGTCTGTCCTTGCCTGCAGATGATGCTGATGCTGCTCTTCGGCGCGGCTGCTACAGCCAGCAGCTTCCGAGTCAACGCCTGCTTCAACGGCCTGGCCCTGCTCAACCTGCTGTACGTACCCCGCTCCGCTTTCCCCTTTTCTGCTAAGAGCTGGGCTCTGAGATTTCACTGAACGTTTGATTCAAAATAGAGAGTAGCCAGCGCCTTCCGCGTCAACGCGTGCTACAGCGGGCTGGCCCTGCTCAACCTGCTGTACGCCCCTCCTCGCTCCTCCCTCCCCTGCTCCCCTGGTCCTTTCACCCACCTCTCCCTTTAATCACCGCAAAACTCTCCCGTCCGCGTCAACGCTTGCTGCAACGGCCTGGCCCTGCTCAACCTGCTGTGCGTCGCCCGCTCCTCCCTCCCTTCGCCCACCTACTCCGTTTGTCCTGCTCGCGTTGACCTTGTTCTCTGGCGCTCTTTCTTCTGAAATCTCTCTTCCTCCGTTGGTCTTCCCTTGCACTTCGCCTCTTCTCTGTTCCTTCCCTTTTCTCAAGTGGCTTCCTTCATTCCGCCAAAGCACTTTCCCCCCAGTGTCTCTCTCTTCCTCACAGCCCTTCCCCTTTACCCTAGCGCCCTTCCCATTTCCGACAGCCCTTTCCCCCTTACCTGTCCCCCCAACCCCTTAACCACCCCTTTCTCTGCCAGACTGCCCAGTATCTTGAACAAAAAACACCAATTTCCTCCGATTTCCCCTTCTGCAACTTATTTCCCCCCTCTATTCCCTGCAATTTGCCCCACCCATACCTTGTTCACCCTGCACCAGTGGTGATGACTGCACGCTGCTGGCATGGTCGGTGGCCATGGGGTACATGGCCTCCTTCACCTATATTGGCTCCTTCTGGTATGACTCCTTGTCATTTTGCTGTCTCGTCCTCTTGTTGCCTCCTCTTGCTGCCTCGTTCTCTTGCTGCCTCCTCCTCTTGCTGCCTCCTCCTCTTGTTGGCTCAGTTTTGTAATATGTCGTTTTCAAGTTCTTGTGTTTGAGAATGTAGTCCTCCATATATATTTCCTCATCTGTCTTCTCGTCAACTTTTTGGTTCGCCCTCACCAAGTGCTGGCTCCCATTTGTATGTTGTCTCGTTATCATGGTTTTTTGTAATAATTATATTTGTCCTGTCCTATCTACAACGTCCCTGCCCTTCCAACAACAGGCACTTCTTCTTTCTTCTTGCCAACGACCACTAAATAACCAGCTGTGTGCGGGTGAGATGGCGAAACACTAGTTCCTTTGTGATTAGTGAGCAAACAAACTTGAGTACTTGATGCCTTATCTAGATTCTTTAACTCGACTGCAAGTGTAGTGGGAAGTTGTTGAAATATAAAGCAGTAACATTGTGCAGAATCCATGCACTTCAAAGGAGGTTCAGCTTTCACGAGCAATTGCAGGAATGCAAAACATGTGTGCCCTTCTAAAAGGGATGAACCTCCAACTAAAATATAGTTGGAGGGAAACACAATTGTAGTGGGGACGGTATCAGTGAGCATAACGAGGAACCGCATTCGGAATGTTCGCCAAGAATGTCAATGTGGGTCATCACACGTCAGCAGGTTGCACCAAACCACTGCAGAAATGATGTACGTGACAGCAGGCACAAATGACGTTCGTGGGGGCAGGCACAAATGACGTTCGTGGAAAATCCAGAAGATTCAATTGCCCGCGATTGCCCGATTTTACATTGCCCCGTTTCACATTCCACGTCAATCTCCCCATTTCACATTGCCCGCGATACGTGCTAGCCTATGTGGCTTATTGCGAATGGTTAAAAGAATCTGTTACGGTTAGTTTCGGTTTCCTCAACCAGTGTGGCCAACGTGATTTGTGAAAGCTGTGCGACTCGCTGTCACCGACATTCTTGTCAATCTTCCCATCTTGCATTGCAAATGCAATCTCCAACCAACCTTCATGCAAATTCCATGCCCCTTGCGCCGACATTTCCGCCCCACCGTGACCACCACCAGCCCTCCGCTCCGCACTTTCTCTGGTTTCTTCCCTTTTTGATAACCAAGATTGCTTGATGCTCGCAGGAAGAAAAGAGCCACCACTCGATATTCAAGAAGGAACTAGCAGGCCCGTCCTCATTCTTCGTCGTCTTCTTCAGAACCAAACAAGCGATGAACGTTTCTCCCATCGTCATTCCACATTTGTTGCTTCCAAACACGCTTCCAAACCCAAAGTGGTATTGTTTTGAGCAAAACAGGTCGTTCTTTCTCTATCAGCTGCTAGCCCACCCCGTTTCAACACAAACGCGGAGTCACCTTTTCCATTCGCAACCATGTCGGCCGCTGCGCTTGTTCTCCGCGGCTGTCAGTTCGTCTTCTCCCTCATCTCCTTCAGGTGCGACGGTCGACCGATTCTGAACGATGAATTAAGTTTACGTATTTTCCAGCTGACAACCTGATTCCCTTCAAGTGCGATCGTCGACCGTTTCTCAAGTCATACTGAAGTGTTACCATGATAGAATCGTTCGACTCAAAAGTCACTACGTTCTGCCAGCTGAAATCACTACCCTGTGAAACATATCAAGATACCTCGAGTCGGGCCGACGGACAGAATCCGTTTACAAGGAGACTCCGTAGGCCGCTGTTTTTTCTATCATTCTCACACGCTTCCTTTTTTTTTTTTTTTTTTTCTCGCCCGTGGCGGGCGGCGCGGATTTGACTGACGGCCGCAGCAAACGACCCGCTGCCGGCGGGTGTGCTAGAGAGAGTCCTGAGCTCAATGGCGATGGCGATGACGGTGTCCCGAATGTCCCTCAGAGTCTCCTGAATGTCACCAGGGTCCCTCGGGTCCTCGTTTAAGTTACGATGTCCAATCGATTTCACTTCCGTCGCAAATGATTAGGCCCTTATACAATGAGGTAACCTAGAAATTTACCCTAAGCTTTTCGCAAGGTAACCCTCCGAGGGTGGTCGAAGGGGTATCATTAATGAGTCATCAATACAGCTTTCATTGGTGTAGCTCAGAGCGTTTCCTTTTCCGTCTGCCGCATACCGCGCGCGCCCCATCCCCCGCTCTCCCTCCCTTCTTTCCCCTTCGCGCGACTCATCCTCCCCCTCCCCCTTTTCCTGCGCGCGTCCCATGATCTGGCCCCCTTCTCCCCCCTTCACGGCGGCCGCTCCCCCTCCCCACAGCATTCTAGCGGCGGCGGACGGCAATCTGACGTCATTCAGCACGGACAAGTTCCTGCTGGCCGCTCACCTTCTCTTCCCGCCGCTCCCCTCCCCGTCACTTCCCGCCGCTCCCCTCCCCGTCACTTCCCGCCGCTCCCCTCCCCGTCACTTCCTGTCGCTCCCCTCCCCTTCCCTTTCTCCCCCCTCCTTCCCCCGCAGTATCCTAGCAGCGGCGGATGGCAACCTAACGGCGTTCAGCACGGGCCAGTTCCTGCTGGCGGCGGGCATCATCGCGTTCATCTTCTCGTTCGTCGCCATCGTCGCAGGCATCGCAGCCGTCGCCAGCAGCTCGCTGAGGGACAAGCAGTCGCGCATGTACCTCTTCTTCGCCGTTGAAAGCTTCGTGAGTCGCTCAGCCCATACATGCACACCTGTGCACACTCAAGCACACGCAGTCGCGCATGCATCTCTTCTTCGCTCTTGAGAGCTTCGTGAGTGCCTTTAGACAAATATATTCTTGTGGCCCCTCAAGCGGCTCGCTATGGGACTAGTTTTTGTGGGAGCTCGCTGCGGGACAAGCAGTCGCGCATGTATCTCTTCTTCGCCGCTGAGAGCTTCGTGAGTGCCTTTCTGACAAACCGCCACGCCTATATACGTATGATTATGTCTTAGTTCGCCCATTCATGTCTAATTTTGAGGTGACTCGAAAGTCCTTTCGACTAGTCTAAACTCGTCTACCTTCACATATGCGCACCTGCACACTCACACCCCGTGCCCTTCCCATCCCCGCCTCGCCAGCTCAACGTGTGTCTGCTCTTCGGGGCTGCCTGCACGGGCGCCAACGTGTTCGGCGAGTCATGCGGCTACTTGAGCAAGTGAGTGCAGCGCTCTCTCCGCAAGTTTTTCCTCTCACCTTTCTCCACTCTTCGGAGCTGCCTGCATGGGCGCCAACGTGTTCGGCGAGTCATGCGGCTACTTGAGCAAGTAAGTGCCGCGCTCTCTACCCTCTCTCCTCTACTTTTTCCTCTCGCCTGTCTCCGCTCACCGGTCACTTCTAATCCCTCCTCTGGTCATGCCATGACCTCTGGGACCCTCCTGTCACCTCTCGTTGCCCACCTCTTCCCTCCCACCGCTCATCATGACTCTCTCTCCCCATCACCCATTGTCTCGGCGTCTCTTCTCCCCTGACCCTTGAATGCAGCACCTTCGCTTCTCCCTTCTTCCTGATCACCTCTCACCTCTCACCTGGTTCCCTCCCTTTTCCTCCTTTCCCGTTCCGTGAATGCAGCACCTACGACGCGTTCCTCCCAGCGACCAACACGTGCACCTACGCCAAGACCTCAGTCGCCTTTGCATTCCTCGCCTCATTCGCTTTCATGGGCACACACTGGTGAGTACGGGAGCACCTTTTAGTGAGTAAAGCAGCCTTTTTTTTTGCGAGTGCAGTGGTGGGGACATTAAAGCCAGCAGCTAAAATTGTGAAGGCCGTCCCAGCTTGAAATCGCTGCGATGAGTTAGGCTGATACAACACTGTTCCAAACAAACCGTGCAGGCAGGTTGAACTCATCTGATTGGCTCAAACCAATCTCAAACCAATCTGATAGGCTAGATGCAGGAGTGGGTACAGTTGGCATACACCCTGTTAGAATAAGTAAGGCGGTTTACTCCAACACACCTTTTATTGCCTCCTGTTCCCTTTCACAAACCATCTGCCCCTCGGCCTGCCTCCTCATTTCTTGCTTGCCTACAGGTACTATGTATTCGCCATGAATCGCGGCTAGTAAGAATGTCTAGCCATGATCTCGAATAAGTAGGATTGCTTTATTCTCCGTTTTACAGCTTCTCTCGTAAACTTGCAGTTCATGAAACAACGCGGGGTAATGAGGGATGTACATGTTCGACTGGGAAATTACACTGTTGTTCATTGCACTGTAGCTACCGTACCGTAATAGGCAATACTGCTGACCATCCGGTGCCAACCAGATTTTTTATTTAACTTGCCTGGGTTTGTGCATATAAACACACAGGAAAAACGTGATGAAACAGCCTATGTAAGATCAGATTCCTAGAAAATCAGTGTTTTAAAGCTAGATTTGCTTTTTATTATGGAGTAAGTTCAATACAAAGTAATGGATTTCAAGATAAGGGTGATAAGGAGAGAGGAGTAGGAGAAGAGAAGGGGAAGAGAAAGGTGGAAAGAGGAGAAGAGAGGAAAATATTAAGGACCAAGCACAACAGCTACGATAGATTTGCTTGAAAGGCTGACTCATGGGGCTCTGCAGAAATGAATTAACATGTACCGTATGACAACATTCACGATTTGATATGGCATAGTGCACTTTGACTCGGGAAAAAGGGCATTGAGACACTTGTGTCCCCACAGGAATGTTCCCTAACAGGGCATTGAGCATTCATTTTACTTTTGCAACTATTGCACATCTATGTTAACAAGTCACGGACACAGTTCGATAACAAGCACTGAATGAAATACAAGCCAAAAACAAACTGCTGGGGTAAGTTCTAGGGGCCCTTCTTGATCCTGTACAGGACAGGCAGCTATTGACTGCTCGATAAATAGTACACCAATATTCTGCCATGGGCTTCCTATCGCCTGTAATATGACATGAGTGCATAGTACCTGCGGAACCAAAACGTTTAGCATGGGGATAGGTGAGAGAATATCAAGGGCAAGTCACCGTGAGAGACAAAATGGAGGCATTTAATGGGAGCACGTGGGTGGAGGAGATGAAGGTGAGAATGCGTGGAAGGAAAAGCGAAAGGGCAAGAAGACGAGGGAGAGAGGGGAGAGATGGGTGACTAGGGCAAGGCACCATGAGTGACAAAATGGAGGCAGTCAATGGAGCACGAGGGTGGAGATGAAGGTGAGAGAGAACGGATGGTGAAAAGCGAATGAGCAAGAAGACGCAGGAGGAGGGGGGAGATAATAGGAGAGAGAGAGGGAGAGAGACAGTAGGGGAGAGAGAGAGAGAGAGAGAGAGAGAGAGAGAGAGAGAGAGAGAGAGACAGTAGGGGAGAGAGAGAGAGAGAGAGAGAGAGAGAGACAGTAGGGGAGAGAGAGAGAGAGAGAGAGAGAGAGAGAGAGAGAGAGAGAGAGAGAGAGAGAGAGAGGTGGGGGGGGGGGGGGGGGGGAGGAGAGGGGGCAGGTGAGAGAAACAGTCTCATACCAGAATCCGCCAATGTAGGTGAAGGAGGCAAGGAAGGCCATGGCGACAGATCCCTTGATCAGCCCACAATCATTGTTGCCGGGACTGCAGGAGGTCAAGAACGGGTGGGGAGGGATTAGTAAACATAATATACGTTTTTTTCTGCTTTTGTTGCCGGTTGTTTATCAGAATTTTTGACATACATGGAAGTGTTTTCCTCTAAAAATTTGCTTGCTGGTAAAGAAGACTGCGAACTGTAGCACAACATATGTTGGCGAAATAATGATCTTTGTTTGCGACAGCAGAACACGCACATGTAGTAGTTGAAGTAGCTCCCTCCTGACGAGTTGACGCAGCCCGACGCCTGCGCGCCCGCCGTGCACGCCGCCGCGAAGAGGAGCAGCGAGAGCAGCTGGCGAGGGAGCAACGAGGACGGGGAGGGGGACCGACGGATTGGTGGGCGGGAAGAGGCGCAGCTTGCCCTGAAAGGAGCGGAGAGCGCTGACTTATCGTCGGGTCGCTGTTGGATTCTTTTACAAAACGCGCAACTGACTCACCCAGCATTCGGCGACTTGGAAGAGGCGCAGCTTGCCCTGAAAGGGGCGGAGCGCGGAGACGAAGAGCGACGCGACGAGGAGCACGAGGAGGAAGAAGGCGAGGATGAAGCCGATGATGGTCATGGCGAGCAGAAACGCGCCCGCGCTGAGCTTGGTGTAATCGTACTTGGTCGACACGAGCAGGCTGAGATGAAAACGGGGAAGGGACGAGGGGAAAGAAAAGGGGTGGGGAGAAGAGGGGGGCGAAAGAGAGGGCGAAGGAGAGACGAGCGGTCGCTACGAGCAGAAACGCGTCCGCACTAATTTTTGGTTCAGCTGGACTTCGTTGATTGATTTTTGTGTGTGGCGTCGTTAAAGACGGGAGTGCGTTGTCGCACAAGGCGTCGTCGTCGCACAATGTCGTCGCAAGCGACTCACGAGAAGGAGATCATGCAGAGGAGCAGCTCCGCGACGCGCAGCCCGATGCCGATGAACGTCGACTTCCTCGACGACCCCGCCGAGCCGCCGCCAGTCGCGGCGGGCGGCTTGCCCGCGCCGCCGCCCGCCTCAACGTCCGCGTAGCCCGCAGGCGGAGGGTTTGCGCCCGTCGGTGGGTATGCTGGCGGAGGCGCGTAATCTGTCGGCGGCGGACCGGCGGCGTACTGCGGGATGCTCTCAGGAGGAGGATACTCGGCGGCCATGGTGTCGGCGGCTAGCGGTGGGAGTGGAAAAGGAGGCGGAGATGGAATTTTGCGCACTGTCTAGCGAGATGAATCGGAGCGGCTCTGGGTTGCTTGGCTGGGATCGCTTCTGCAGATGATACAAGTTTTCACTTTCTTGATTTCTTCGTTGAGAGAAGCGGCGGCTTTTATGCTTGTCAAGGGAAAGGGCGGATGAAGTGCTTGTGTGGTGTGGTGGTGGTATTCTGTTACGGTGGAGTGTGGTGCGTCGGTGTTACTTGAGGTGTTGCAGCGGCAGTTAGGTTTGAAAGTGCTACCAAGGAGGTTGGCGCGCAGGTAAGGAGGCGGCGGAGAAAGGCTGGGCGAGGTAAGTGCTGAACTGAAATTGGCGAAAATTGCGGCAAGCCCAGTTTGGCTGGCGATGGGAAGGGGGCCAATTGCGTGTGCTGTGGGGATTCAGCACGCCCCAGCCAACATCAATCCGAGCCGCTACTATGGGACAGGTACGTGCGGTTTGTGCGGAGGTTCGGCGGTGCGTGAGCTCTTTGGCTGGCGGACGTGGCTCGACGTTGCGGCCGAGCCGTAATTTGGCCCATGAGTGGCTTGTGAGATATTCACCGGAGCTCGAGGTTCGTACCGCAGCTGTCTGGTTCGCCGACAGCAACCTCCAGTTATTTTACCACAGGCTCGGACAAGGTTTGCCAATGGACCCACAGACCGGAGAGTGCGGAAACAAACAGTGAATTGAGAAGTATCCAGGCTCCTTCTTTCTAGTCAACAGGCCGTTTCGCTTCAGGCAAACCCGCCTGCCCGAAACGAAAACGGCCTGTTGACGAGAAGGCAGTGGGAGGGGAGGCACTATTTCCGACCGAACTCCCCTTCTGATCGGACGGGCAATAAAACTTGGAGGGACGAAATCCGACGGTACCTACCAAATCCGCGTTTTACAGAATTGTGGAACTGATCTCGTGTACATCTGACAACCAGATGTAATCACATCACTTAGGGGCGCTAACAAATATACATGTGTTAGAGAAGTCATGGAGCAAAGGATTGAAACCATCTTTGGTGTAGGTATTTGCAGCAACAGTTGACAGAAAATCCGCAGATGGTATCTGAGAGAGGTATAAGAGAAACAACGGATGGGGGAAAAAAATGTGGATTTTGAAAAGTCTAGGTGGGCCAAGCAAGGTTCACTTGACAGAATATGTGCATGGTTACCTGATGTGCGGGTTACCTCATCTGCAGGATCGACGACTTCCATGCAGACGAGCCGCGAAAGACAAGGGTCAAAGTAGCGCGGCTCCACGCCGAGCGAACACGGATTCGCGACATGGTTCGGCCGCAACCGGACCTGCGACACCATACGCAACAACGAGAATCTTGGCTTGTGAAAGCTTTCAAAAGGATCAGTTTTAGCGGAAAATATAAATGATTGCAGTTTACACTAGATCTAGTCTAGTACACTAAAGCTCCGCTTCACTTTGGTGAAAAAAATGAATTGTCAGAACACGTGACGCGGTGGCCCCACCACAAGAGCACAGCGCAGGCCATAGGGATGCTTTTCCATCCCACTTGCTTCCCTTGTCGCCTTGTCATGTCACACAAGCCTCAATTGACCTGTCGCACATTCAAACTCGCACCGCACCTTTCTAGGTGTACTGTTCACCCGTGTCCTTTCTCGGTCTCTCCTCTCCTCCTCTCCTCCCACTTTTCCCCCCAACTCACGTCCTTAGCGCTCTGCTCTACCATCCACGGATTTCTCTTCATATCTCCTCGCCGCGTTTCACCGTTTTCAGCCTTTCCGCGCCTCTCTTCGCCTCTCTCCTCTCTTCACTCGCATCCCAGTCGAATTCTCTGGTCCAAGCCCAGTCAGAGGGCGGTCTCAAGTTCCCCCACCATCGAAGTTCCCCCACCAGCCCGTTTTTTCAAAGCTGATGGGGGTTTTGGTGGGAATGCTCCCACTCTGACCACCGAACCTCATTTTGGCGGGCGACAGATGTCGCCAGCATCGCATGTACGGTATCCAATGAAATTGACGCGCCAGCTCGCAGACCAATTGTTGTACTAACCTCGTCTGGCAAAACCTAAACGGCTGAGCCTGACGGTTGCGCCTGACGTAAAATTTTGGCACAACAGTCAAATCAAGTCAACTTGGTGATATTGGCAGATTCACGCAAGCAGGGCAGAAATCGGTTGCGTGGGCAGGATGAAATATATGTTGCCGGCTATGTGCACGAAACTGGCATGTCTAACACTGTAGTCTCCACACGCAGCAAACGTGGCACGATCTCCATCGTCGCACACTGACGGTCAGGCCAGGCCATGCGACCGTGGCCGGTTAGACTCAAGGTGGGTAAACGTCGAACCGCGTGAGGGAACATTCGAATGTGATTTAATGCCACGTCAACATTACGAGTCGCGTGGGGGAACTTCAGAATGCGCCCTCAGTCTGGTTCTTGATCGTCTATTCCTTTCTCGCACATTTCCCCGCATACAATCTCCAGACCTGTGTACTCTCCTGAACCATCCACCCCCACTTCTCCCGCTTTACCCTCCCTTCGAAGCTCTAGTAATGAAGCAGTGGTTTTTGTTTTTTATGGAACTACAGTAATATTACCACAACTACCATCCCAGCCTGTGTGATTGCATAAAAGCCTTCTCAAACCTTACCACCGGCTGCATTAAAACCGGAGTCTCAAGTATCCCGAAGTTGCCTCATCCTTCCTACCTTTGGTTGGGTCACAAAGTCCAACCAAGCTTCCTACCTTTGAAATTGTCACTAAGTCCAACCAACCTTCCTACCTTTGAAACCTGTGGACCCTGGACGAAGTATCGCTGCAATGTTCAGTAACTATTGGGACACCATAATAACCTCCTCGCGGCGCCTCGTCGAATCTTCCTTGGTGTAATCGCATTTGGCTGCTCGTCCGCATTCGGCCGCCCAGTCATCATGTCCGACAGCGGCAGATTCGATGCCAGTAATACCAGTGCAGGTAGATCGACGGTCATTTCTATTGGAGACGAACGGACGGCTGAGATCATGAACTCAGAGTCCGCGAGCGACTCGGGTCGCCGCCAGCGCCCCCCGGCGCGCGGCGGTCTTTCCATCGACTTGGACGAGTCGAGTCGCGGCCGGCCGACGGCGGCGTCCGGTCGACGCGCTCTCTCCATCGACATCAACTCTGCGGAGAAACCCTCCGCCGCCGCCGGCGGAGGAGGCGGCGGGGACGACGGCGCAGATGACGCCGTATCCGGCGCTGCCATGCCGAAGACGCCATCGGAGCGCGTACGCGCTATAATCATGCAGGCAGCCTCGGAAGGGCAAGACGCAGTCAAGGCGGAATCGAGCGGGAAGCAGCGCGCTGCGGAGCTCCACGCGAAGCGGCAGCGCAGCCGGCGAGGCCTCGGCCGGCGCGCTGGCAACAACGCTGGTAACAACAGCGTCCCCGAGTCTGATCGCGACGCGGCGTCGTCTGATACGCGTCCGCGCGAAGACGGCGCAGCGAGCATGGGAACCGGTGGCCGCGGTGGCGGCGGCGGCGGTGGCGGCGAGGATTATAATTCGCTCGTCGATAGCGGATACGGAGATTTTGTGGCGGACCGGGATGATTATTCTGACTATCAAGAAAGCGAGAGCGGGTCGCACAACGACGAGATACACGGCGGGTTTCACGGCGTGTCAATTAGTCCGCTCAGGTCGGGGCCTATGGGTCCGCGGTTCGGCGGAACGAGCCCCGGCAGCCCCGCGAATTCGGAGAGCCATTTGTTTCGTCGCGGTCCGAAGACTTATAGCGACACGGGAACGCCGAGGAGCGACGACGGCCGAAGCGCGGTCGGCGGTGACGTGGTGGATGATAATTTCGGAGAAACCGGGGAGGGCGGGATAGGAGAATTTTACGGGCAGCGGAAAGTTGGAAACGGGTATATTCAGATGAACGCGGCGGGGACGGTCGCGTCGGGGTTCACGCTGCTGGAAATGGGGGGTAAACGAGAGCAATATGGCGGATACCGAAGGGTAAGTTTATAATTGACCCGTATTATCAAAGGGTAAGTCCGAGCGACACGCAGGCATGCGTGAGGTGACGAGCACGTAACATTCATGTACGCACATGCGTAAGCAAGTCACATGCACGCATGCATGCACGCGTGCTCGCACGCACATATTCGTGCGCGTGCGCTCACAGACACGCACACACACGCGCGCGCACGCACACAGACACACACACCCAAACACGAACTCCCCCCCCCCCCCCCCCCCCCCCCCCCCCCCCCCCCCCCCCCCCCCCCCCCCTCCCCCCCCCCCCGCCTCCCACACACACAAACACAGAGTAAACGAACCTCGTGTCAGTACATTATGAACGAAGTGTTTTGAGACGTCTCAAAGCACACAGACGGAGTGAATGAACTCCGTGTCACTACATTGCGATCCCATCAATCCAACGGCTTATGTAACCCGTCCTGTCCCCAATAACACACAGGCCATGCCCATCCCCATCCCCATCCCCATCCCCATCCCCATCCCCATCCCCATCCCCATCCCCATCCCCATCCCCATCCCCATCCCCATCCCCATCCCCATCCCCATCCCCATCCCCATCCCCATCCCCATCCCCATCCCGATCCCCATGCCCATGCCCATGCCCATTCCCATGCCCATTCCCATGCCCATCCCCATCCCCATGCCCATTCCCATGCCCATCCCCATGCCCATTCCCATGCCCATCCCCATGCCCATTCCCATGCCCATGCCCATGCCCATTCCCATGCCCATCCCCATGCCCATTCCCATGCCCATCACCATGCCCATTCCCATGCCCATGCCCATGCCCATTCCCATGCCCATCCCCATGCCCATTCCCATGCCCATCCCCATGCCCATTCCCATGCCCATCCCCATGCCCATTCCCATGCCCATCCCCATGCCCATTCCCATGCCCATCCCCATGCCCATTCCCCTGCCCATCCCCATCCCCATGCCCATTCCCATGCCCATCCCCATACCATACATTAGAATCACCTCCATTCGCGCTCTCTGCCTCCCCATCCCCTTTATTGAGAAGACTCAGAAGCTATTTAATTCCCTTCACATGTCCCCGTCTCACTTGCTTCCCCATTTCTCCCGCCCAATCCCATCTCTCCCGCCCAAACCCATCTCTCCCGCCCAAACCCATCTTCCCCTCCCTCTACATCCGCCCCTCCCTCGCTGCTAAACAAGTAATTTTTCTCTCGCTGTCTCCTTCATATGTCCCGCTTCGCCTTACCCCTCTTCTCACTCCAACCATCTTCTTTCTCCCTCGCTCCTCTTTCTCGCCCCCTTCCTCACACCCCACTTCCTAATCCACCCTCCTGTTGTTTTCCAAAACAATGCAGGCAGCACGTGCGCCCAAAACACAGACAGCAATGCTGATTGTGTCGCTCTTTGTCCTTCCTCCCTCCTCTCTCACGCTCCATAACACACTCATTGCCCCCCTCCTTTCCTTTTGATCCGCCCAGTCCCACCTCCAGTACTGGCAGCGTCCGGAAACACACAAGACCGTACTGATCCTGTTACTCTCTGTCTTCCCCCCCTTCCTCTCCCATGCTTCTTAACCCACCCAGTACCCTTCCTTTCCTTTTGTCCCTAACCCCAACCCAACCCCAACCCTCCAGTACTGGCAGCGATCGGAAACACAGAAGACAATATTCATCCTGCTGCTCTTCCTCCTCTCCTTCCTCCTCACCATCTTCCTCACGCTCCTCATCGTGTCCTTATCGTGCTTCTCTCTTTCTTCCCATCCCTTCGATGCACTCCTTCCATCCCTTCGATGCACTCCTTCCATCCCTCACTCCCATCCCCAGTACTGGTAGCGACCAGAAACACAGAAGGCAGTGCTGGTTGTGCTCCTCTCTCTGCTCACTAACCCACCCGCTTTACCCCCTTTCGTTTCCTCCCTCTCTCCCAACCCCACCTCCAGTTCTGGCAGCGATCGGAAACACAGAAGACAATATTCATCCTGCTGCTCTTCCTCCTCTCCTTCCTCCTCACCATCTTCCTCACGCTCCTCTTCACCTTCATGTTCGTTCCACGTCAGCAACAGCAGCATCCGACCTCGGAAACACCACAATTCTCTCTACAGTCACCCCCTATTGAAACCACCCCGTTACAGTCACCCTTGTTACAGCCACAATCAGCAGACTTAGGAGCACAGTCGGGTGAATCCCCAGGTTCACCATCATCACCTGTAGAAATAGGATCAGAAAACTCATCATTACCATCATCACCGTCATCATCAGCATCACCACCATCACCATCACCAGCATCGGAAGCACCTTTTGAGTGGCCTGCTTTGGACTTATCCAAGCCTCCAGATGCAATGGTCGGCTCTCTTCAAGTGAAGGTGAGCCGTTCCCCCCACGTGTGCAGTATTGGGCCACACGGCTCGATGACAGGTATGAGACGAGCCAACCCAACATGCCAAGCTATGTCTGGGCAAGATGGTCTATGAGTCTATTCAGGTTTCCCCCTGCTCCCCCGCCCCCCTCTTTCCCCTTTCGCCCATGTTGCAGTATTGGGCCACGTGGCTCGATGAAAGGTACGAGACGAGCAGACCCAACATGCCAGGCTACCTCTGGGCGAGGCTACAGTTCCAGCTACACTTCCCTTCCCTTAAAACTTTCTTATCCGCAACCCAAAACTTATCTATCGACCTACTCTACCTCAACACTTCTCTCGCCCCACCGGACAAGGCAACATCATACCCAAAACCAAGCCCATCGCTCCTCCCATGGCCCATTTTAGACTACAGTGCACTGAACTCTACAGAAGCAGATTCGCAAATAGTTAGAGTGATATGGGAGTGCAACAACTGTAGGATTCCGGGAGGCCATGGAGCGGATATGGAGGAGGATGAGAAGGATGGAGAGGTGCTGGTGGTGATGAGGGTGCGAGTGGAGGGGAAGCATTTGAGAGTGGTGGGTTCGAGCCACGTGATTGGTCTGAATCGGACGGTTACGCTGAATGAGATCGGAGGGTCCAGAGCGGCCACTGGTACTCGATGGCAAGGCATGGACTTTGTCTTCGCTGTTGTGCCGCATAAATGATGGGAGCTCATAAATATGGCAGTGAGGGTCAAGCATACTCACGTACCATACCGAACTGACTATTTCTGACCTAGGCAGGCTGTTCCTGAGTAGTCGTTGGCTGGATTAGGTTAGCCAAGTGTTGGGGGGTGTCCATACAGTGCAGAGCTAATCACGTCCATACAATGACGTTTCCATTGTTTGATGTTTCTTCTTCTTGGCAAGTGAAGCACAACTTTGGCAACATGATGGCTATAGCTATGGACTGCACTCAGAACTCTGCAGAAGACATTAAAGAGCTCTAGCAAGCAAGCAATATGTCTCCACGCAACGTTTATTAGGGACCCAAACCTGTACAAAGAAACATACTCACGACAAGTACCCTAATCTACCACATCTATCCCCTTCCTGTAATGACCTGCAACCGCCCGAACCAGCCTCTTGACTGTCCTCATGCAACGCCAGTATCCATACACAGCTTGCAAACGAGCTATTAATTGTCAAAACCCTTGCTCGACCATCAGGCTGCAGCCACTGCAACTTCGTCTGAATGTTCCCCACCCTGCGGCTGGTCATCCGCTGTCGGCTCACCCACAGATCTCTCATCGAGTAAATCAGCGTCACCAACATCGTCAGCTGTGACCCGAACCTCACCAGACACAGGCTCCTCTACAACCACAGAGGCCTCGAACTCTTCTTCGCCACTCGAGTCGTCTGAAGTCATGGCTTCAACCACAACCAGAGCAGGATCTTGCTCGTCCTCGCCCTCTGCTGCAGCCACCTCTGCAGCTTCCTCCTCTTCGGCCGCCTTAATGGCTTCCTGAATCGCGACTTCAAACGGCTCCTCTTGAAGCCTGAACTCTACCGGCATGATGTCCTCGTCCTGGTTTTCCGGAGGTGCGTCAACGCCTGATTGGCAGACAGGGAAGTCTTCGAAAGCCGCTCGAGGCAGCTGCTCGCTGATTCCGAATCCAACAGAAAAGTGGATCAAGCTTGAAGCGGCGTCGTCCACGTAGATCGATCTCACGGACACCCAAAACGGCAATTCCGGAGGCTTCGCGGAAATTCCGCGGACGTTTGAAATTATTCCGTACTGCAGCCTGCCGGTAAGAACGGTTGAGTAGTAAAGCGGAATCTCACCCGAGTTATGCACTGATGTGCGACACGTGGACGGTAACTGCACTCGGAACCATCCCTGATCATTGATTTCAGCCTTGTTGACACTCTTCGGCAGCAGGCCGACCGGGAGGCCGTTTTTCTTCAATGTTTCAAAAGGATCTGGGTCCAGATTAAAGCCCGCGTCCCAAATTGCGGGCCGCGAGGGTCAAGTTTTTAAAACTTGACGAAGTTGAGTGTCCAAGCTTTTGAAAGTCACGCACTTGCAATTTGGGACTTTCGAAGACAGATTCACTCACCAGGGGGAAAACCGAGGGTTGGCTGGGTCTCGCGAAAAAAACGAACCTAGACGAAATCGGAAACTCTCGCCAAAGCCCACACCAGAAAAACTCCCTCTGGTCAACTTTTAAAAGCATGAACAATTTGGGCCGCCGGCTTTAACCGACGAATCGGCTGCTGCAGTGATTGGCTGCTGTTTAGTCACGAGCGGTGGCGAGATTGGAAGGAATCTGGCTGAAACCAAGCTGGCGCATCCCAGAACTAGGATGAAGGAGATCAGCGAAGGTCGAGCCATGGCTACAAGAGCCAGCTTCAATTAATCTTATGTTCCGCAGCACCGCTTCTCCTGGGGAAGAAGCTGAATAACCTAGACAATAGAGCAGGAAGAACCTGAAAAGGCTTGACAGATACTGAAAAAGGATGCTCTGGTCTAAGTGATTTGTTTCTGAGAGACCTGGAGAGATTATCCTGGTTGCGGGCGAAGCGGCCTACTTCAGTTTGCCCCCCTCAGAGCGAAGCTTGTGGACCGAACCTACCGCTACGCACATTGGTGGCGAAAGGTGATTGGTTATTTTGAGGTCTTGGGGGCTTGCTTTATGAGTGGATGACGTGACAGTTTCAGCTTTGGTTTGGATCCACGTCATTATCGTCCGAGCCCCGCTCGAACTTGTCGTGTAAGGTCTGGGAAAGGATGACGTTCGGCTTTGGTTTGGGGAATCGATATGTCACCACCACCCTGGGTTTGCTGGACACATGGAGGAAGTAATGCACACACAGTAGCTAGGGCGTGTCGAATGAAATGCATTCCACCTTGCGGTGTTTCATGGATGGAGTTCTTGCATCCGGGGATGGACTGAAATTTGTATGTGCGGAAATAGACTCGCTTTCCGGTCTCAAGTCACGTTGTCTGCTAAAACAACACGACCTAACTTTGTGAGAACGTCGCACGACGGCCAAAGTTGCAGTTTCGACGGGCCTCGCGACTTGGTAAAGGTATAGGCCCCTTCGTAAACCAATCTGGTCAACGACACCCAGGCCGAGGTCGCACGACAGTCGGCTGATCGGGTATCGTTTAGAGAGGTATGTACTGTTATGAATGAACTTGCAGAGTGCGCAGAATATCAAATAACGAGAATGAGAATTACAGAATGACGATACATTGAAAGTGACGAGGCCTAAATAGGGGAAAGGCTAACTAGGCGGGGAGGTAGGGCAAGATGGCTCGGTGATGGTTGCGATTGGAGCGGAGGCCGACTCGGGAGTGGTTCGGTGCGACGAAATAGGAAGGACAGGTTCGTCGCGTGACCCTCGGGATGGCCTCGCTAACGAGTGCCTCAGTAAGGATTTGTAAATCCTTACACTCACCCACCTTCTAAATAAGGCAGCCCTGTACTGAGAACAGGCCCCACACTAGCGAGGATGCAGTAGATCTCCCCTTCAGCTGAATCCGACGGCTGAAATGCCTGTAACAATATTTTTGATAAGGTTGGAATGTAGGCCGTTGATGAATTCCGATTTCGATCTGACGGTCGACGATGAACTGGCCCAAAATGAAGTAGAAGTTGGTGGGCCGTTGATCGAGAAGATGTCGATCTGACGGTCGAAGATTGTCGCGAGAAGTGAGGGAAACTGCTGACGCAAAATTCAATCGCGATGTAGCAGAAACCGTTGATCTTGTCGGTGTGATCGCGATCGTCCGTCGTGCTGAAGCGTCCTGACAAAGTCAAGAAGAAACTCGAGAAAACGCCAAGGAAAGGAATAGTGCAATGCACTTTCTCCCCCCCTCCAAGAAAGGGAAATTATATGGGTAGTCACAATTAGGCCCGATTTATCACATTTGGTCACGGGGGTATCACGAACAGTCACAGTACACCTCGTAACTATCGCGTGTGATCACAGTGCTATCACGGATAGTCACACCTTGCCCCGCAAGTCTATCACGTTTGGTTACAGATGAAACGCCCAATCGAGAATTGTAACTACTCGAGTAACTGTAGGGGTTCAGGGGAAATTTTATCCCGCGCGCCGTTTTGTCCGTAGTATCACGAAAAAGTTTCGCGACAACTCTCGGTAACTCATTAAAAACATCTGCAATTTCTTCTTTACTATTCGAATGTCCACTGTTCGATCTATGCATAATGTCCCTAAGAATATCACTTTTAGACGGGTGAAACTCTAAGGTTAATTTTTGCTCCCAATACAAAAACTGTCAGATTTATATGACATAGCTACTGTAGGCTATAGTGGGGTAGCACATATGGGGTACAGTTTTCTAGGGTTTATATTTTGTACCCAACTTTTCCTTAGTCATTCATTCCTCGTTTCTTCTCATGGTATCGAGCAGGTTCCCTAATGGGAACGATTCCTAGGGCCCACCACCACGAATTTTTTTTTTCCTGCCCGGAGCGCGTTTTGCGCCGGCCCGAGTCGCGCCGCCCTTTCGGCCCGTCGCGCCCGTCGCGCCCATCGCCACCTACCTCCGCGGCCCCGCCACCTACCTCCGCGGCCCCGCCACCTACCTGTGCGGCCCCGCCACCTACCTGTGTGGCCCCGCCACCTACCTTCGCGGCCCCGCCACCTCACTGTGCGGCCCCGCCACCTACCTCCGCGGCCCCGCCACCTACCTGTGCGGCCCCGCCACCTACCTTCGCGGCCCCGCCACCTCACTGTGCGGCCCCGCCACCTAACTCCGCGGCCCCGCCACCTACCTGTGCGGCCCCGCCACCTACCTTCGCGGCCCCGCCACCTCACTGTGCGGCCCCGCCACCTACCTCCGCGGCCCCGCCACCTACCTATGCGGCCCCGCCACCTACCTTCGCGGCCCCGCCACCTGCCGGCCGGAGGAGTTCCAGTGCTTGGCCGCTGCTTCACCTCATCTCGTGTCCGTACTGCTTACCCCTGAGGGAGACCCGGATGCACTTGACATCCCGACTCCGCGCTCTTACGCGGAGGCGATAGAGGGTCCCTACTCCTCTCAGTGGCAGGCAGCTATGGACGCAGAGATGGCTTCCTGGAAGTCCACAGGCACCTACGTTGACGCTGTTCCCCCTCCTGGGGCGAACATCGTCAGTGGCATGTGGATTTTCAGGGTGAAGCGACCGCCGGGTTCTCCGCCTGTCTTCAAGGCGCGTTACGTGGCTCGTGGCTTCAGTCAGCGGCAGGGAGTTGACTACTTTCAGACCTTCTCTCCCACCCCGAAGATGACCACTCTTCGGGTACTGCTGCACGTAGCTGCTCACCGTGACTACGAGCTACACTCTCTTGACTTCAGCACTGCTTTCTTGCAGGGCAGCCTGCACGAGGAGATCTGGCTGCGTCGCCCACCTGGCTTCACTGGGTCTTTTCCTCCTGGCACCCAGTGGAGCCTACGGCGGCCAGTCTACGGTCTCCGCCAGGCACCGCGTGAGTGGCACGACACACTGAGGACTACACTTGCAGCTCTTGGGTTTGCTCCCTCTACTGCCGACCCGTCGCTCTTTCTGCGCACCGACACTTCTTTGCCGCCGTTCTACATCCTCGTGTACGTCGACGACTTGGTCTTTGCCACAGCTGACACTGCTGGACTAGCCCACGTGAAGTCCGAGCTGCAGAAGAGACACACGTGCACTGACCTGGGTGAACTGCGCAGCTACCTTGGCTTGCAGATCACTCGGGACAGAGCACGCCGCACCATTACCCTGACTCAGTCACACATGGTGCAGCAGGTCCTTCAGCGCTTCGGCTTCACGTACTCCTCGCCTCAGGCCACTCCTCTGCCTACTCGCCACTCGCTCTCAGCTCTGCCTTCGGATGAGTCCGTAGAGTCGAGTGGCCCGTACCCAGAGCTTGTTGGCTGCCTCATGTACCTGATGACCTGCACACGACCTGACCTTGCATACCCTCTTAGCATTCTTGCACGCTATGTTGCTCCTGGGAGACACAGACCGGAGCACATGGCTGCAGCGAAGAGGGTGTTGCGCTACTTGTGCAGTACGTCGGGCATGGGGCTTGTGCTTGGAGGGCAGAGTCCAGTGGTCCTTACTGGGCACGCAGACGCTTCTTGGGCTGACGACCAGGCTACGCAGCGGTCGTCACAGGGTTACACCTTCAGCCTTGGTTCCGGCTCTGTTTCGTGGCGGGCTACTCGCTCGTCTTCTGTTCTCGGCTCCAGTTGTGAGGCTGAGATCTACGCAGGAGCCATGGCTGCACAGGAGCTTCGCTGGCTCACCTACCTGCTGACTGACCTCGGAGAGTTGCCTCGTTCTCCTCCAGTGCTGTACGTAGACAACAAGGCCATGCTGGCCTTGTGTCGGGAGCAGCGACTGGAGCACAGAACGAAGCACATTGCTCTCCGCTACTTTCTTGCTCGTGAGCTGCAGCAGCGTGGTCAGCTGCGTCTTGCGTACGTGGCCTCTGAGGCCAACACTGCTGATATCTTCACCAAGGCACTTGCGCCTTGTGATCATCAGCGCTTCTGTACTCAGCTGGGTCTTGTGC